TGTAATTTTGAAAAAGAAACATAAACAGTTTAAAACCCAGCAGGGAAAACTTTTGTAATAGGGTGGGACATCAGAGACAGATCACTTCGCAAGCATGCAATAAATCACAACTGGTCATATGAATACGTTTTTGGATTACAAAGGTAGCAGAGACCAAAAGATTGTTATCAGGTTTACGTCCACCTGAAACTCTCTCCCAAACAAACAAACAAAATCCTATTTAACCGGCTTGCAAAGGAGAACCCTTTGGGGGAAATAACCGCCCCATYCCCCCCCCCCCAGCACCAAGGACTCCTCTGCTCAGCTATCGGAATATTTCCGGAGAAACTTTGCATTCAGAAAGTTTATCCCCCACTGTGAAAGGTCTCTGCGCTCTGGCAGCTTGGAGACTCCCCTCCCCCAAGTCCTGAGGACTCTTTCTGCTGGCCCTGGAGGCCACTCTCCTTCGGCCTCAGGTTTCCGGGCTTCTGCAGTGTCGGCACTGAGGACTGATCAAATGTTTCTTTCTCATTACTTCGGGGGGCACGGGGAAACGCTGGCTGCCTCAGCCTCCTTCCTTCCTCCTACAGGTTGCAAATGAAGTACAGCAGCTTTGTCCAAGGAGCAAGGCGGCTTAATTTAATTTTGCACTGCGCTCCTTTATCCCAGTCTGACCGCGAGGTTTCCCCTCACCAAATGCTTAGCGTTTCCCGAGTCCCCTATATAATGTTGATGCTGACAGTAATAATAACTTCAGGGAAYGGGGTGTTCATTTTCTKCTCTCTAAGTCACAAACCAAGAAATCACCTTCATTTCCTTCGTTTTGATTTTGGTGGCTCTGAGTAAAGCGAGGAAAAGGATTTGAAGAAATGTTATTTTTGCTTTGCCAAAATATCACCAACATCATATCAAATATTCTATCAATAATATTTCCTTCTCTCTCTCTTCCCTCCACCTGTGRGTGGGTTCAGCCAGGTTCCTGCCATGTCCCTACACCTGCAGTTGTCCTTCAAGACCAGTCAAAATCCCGCTGGGGAGGACCRGACTGGCAGTGATGACCGCGGATCCTGCAGCAGGTTTGACAAACTGCGGGACAACTCTCCAAGAAGACAACCACCTGCCACGTTGCCCCTCACTCCATTCCGCCCTGGCGCCCCGAAGCGAGGCGCTGACCTGCAGATAGGTCATGCCGGGGACCTCAAGGGCCCGGGACTGCCTTCCCTAGGGAGGGTACAGAGTCCTAGCGCGATCCGCGCCCGGGCACGTGAGCCTGCGCCAGTAGGAGCCCGGCTGGAGGCGCTGCAGGTGCTGCGGGAGCGCGGACRGCGACCTACCTTCACGAAGAGCTCGATCTCGGGGTCCCTGTCGTCCCCGTTAGCTGTGGCCGAGTCTGTCATGCCGTCGGCGCCTGGGGCCACGGTCCCGAGCCGGAGAGGCGCCACCTCTGCAGCTCCGGGGCCAAAGCTCCGCCGCTTCTGCTCCTGCCCAGCGGGGCCTCTTTTCAGAGCGGTGTTTAGAATTTTTTTTTTTTTAAACCATCTATTTCCCTAGCGGAGGCAGTCGGTGTCGAGAGATCTGTGTCCTAGGTGATCACATGAAAAGGGCTGAATCCAGGAGGGGGCAGGGAGCTGAGGGGAAAGGCAGGTTAAGGGGTGACAACAGGTCCTGCGAGCAACAAGTGCGGGGCTGCCGGGAGGTGTCACAGGATCCGCGACTGTCAGCTATCCCGCCGCTGCGGCCAACGCGCCCAAAATAGCCAGAGGCTGGGGGGCGGGGTCAGTACGGGCGGGGACTGGGGGGGGGACACCTTGGGAGCTCCGGTACCGCCCCACGACCCCGAGCGTTGAGAGCCACCGAAGGAKCTCCGCCACAGGAGGATGTCCCGGGGAGGATAAAGAAGGGAAGGAGAGGGAATGGGGGAGAAGAGGAAGAAAAAAAAAAAAAAAAAAAAGGTTAGCAGAAGGGGAAAGGAAGGGAGGGGAGGGGACTCTCGTTTTATGTTTTTCATTTAGCATAGCTCCTTCAAGTTACTCCACTACCTGAACTACCCACTTGGAAAGTTCTTCCTAGAGAGGCTTAGGGCAGGGAGGAGAAGTGGGGGAACGAAGAAGAGAAGAAAAGACCCCTAGCACAGGTCGTTTGCCATCCTCATCCTCGGGCTGAGCAAATAGACTGCAGGGCAGGAGTGGCATGTAAGGCAGAGGGGGTGAGCCAACCGGGTCAGGTGCTGCCGCAGGGGCTGCCAGAGCCAAGGATCCATGTCTTTCCACGTTCTGGATTATTTTTGTCCTTCCCCTTCACGTTCCTCCCCCCACCCCCACCCCCTTCCTTTCTCTTCTTTTTCTCCCTGCCTTTTCTATCCTTATTCCATTTCTATTCTGTGTGTGTGTGTGTGTGTGTGTGTGTGTGTGTGTGTAAAGTACTACACATACTGGGAAAATGCACATATTATAGGTGTACATTTGAATGAATTTTTACAATCTGAACCCACCCATGTAACCAGCACCAGATGAAGAAATGAAAGGTTGACTACCCTCCAGAAATTCCTCTCTCCTCTCTATTTCTCATCAGCTGGGGTACTCTTGCCTGGAATCTTGGTGCTGGCTTCTTTTGTTGTTACATTGATGAGATTTATCCATTGTGCTGTGTGTAGTTGTAGATCATTCATTTTTYACTGCTGCAAACTTATTCATCCATTCTTCTGTTAATGAATATTTGCATAGTTTCCAGTTAATGAATACCATGGATAYTTGTGCTGTTAGCATTCTACCTATCAAATATCCTTTCATTGGATCTGTGGATGCTTTTCTCTTGTAAATATACTTATAAGTGGGATTGCTGACTCATAGAGTGTGAAAATGTTCTTGATAAACACTTRGGTATGGTTTTCTAAAGTAATTGTACCAATATACATTCCTAGCCTTTGTTTCTTTTAAAAATAGTTGCTAAGTCTTTGCACCCGAAGTCTGGTCAACTTCTTTTTATTTTCTTTGCCTTCTCTTTAGTTAATTTCATTTGTGTTCTGTCTTGCCTAACTTATAAATATATACTGTTTCACAGTTTCTCTCTTTATGATAAAAACATTAATTCCTTAACAAGAAAAACAAGTAATAGTATTTACTATGTGTCAGAGAAATATACTGAGCACTTTACATGCCTTTACTTATTTAATCTTAACAAAGAGTGTTATTTTCCTGATTTGACAAGTGGGGAAACTAAGGCATGGAGTATTTAAGTAACTTGCCCCTAGCCATCCAGCTAGGAAATGGCAAAGTCAGAATCCAACTGCAGACACCCTGAGCTCTCAAATACTCTATCAACTGCTTCTTGCAAACATAGTAYATATGTGTAGGTCACTTGAGGGAAACAAAACAGGCCTGATTTTTTTTCAAACTTTTTATTTTTTGGTACCAGGGATTGAACTCAGGGGCACTCGGCCACTAAGCCACATCCCYAGCCCTATTTTGTAGTTTATTTAGAGACARGGTTTCACCGAGTTGCTTAGCACCTTGCTTTGGCTGAGGCTGGCTTTGAACTTGACATCCTCCTACCTCAGCCTCTAGAGCYGCTGGGATTRTAGGCATAATCCCACCACCACGCCTGGCTAGGCCTGATCTTAATGGAGATTAAAATCCATTTCAGAATAATATTCACACAAAAGGAAAACCAAGGCTGCCACATAATAGGGCAGATGGAGGGTGCTATGGATCTGAAATGTCCCCCAAAGACCTATGTGTTAAAGGTTTCATCCCTAGATCTTGACACTATTGGGAAGTGGGAGAACCTTTAAGAGGTGGGGTCTAGTGGGAGAAGGTAGATCACTGGGGTCTTCCCTCAGAGGGGATCATGGGGCCCTGCCTTTCTTCTCTCTCTTTTTGTGAGCCTCCTTTACCCCAAGCTCCCACCAGGATGAACTGTGCTGCCACAGGCCCAAAGGAACAGAGACCATGGGCTGAAACCTCCCAAACTATAAGCCAAAATAAATTTCTCCTCTTTTTCAGTTGATCTATCTTAGATATTTTGCATAATGATGGAGAGAGCTGGCTAACACAGAAAGGCTATATGGGTTGGCATGTAGATGGACTATTTATCRTGGTTAGGATGATGGGGAGAAAAGGCATTATGAAGCAAAAAGCATTTTGGCTGAAACTTCCTGAATGGTCAGACATCTRACAGAGAAGTGGACAWAGTGTCCAGACCACCATTTATGGCAGACGGTTTCCCTATGGAATCCATGTGCAAATTACTGAAGAAAGTGTCGCCAAGCCCCACTTGCAACCCTTGGGTACCCTACAGTTTAATCAAGGTGAGATTTAATTGCTCCCCTTCTCCTTGGTTTCAGGCTTACATCACCAAAGCCTTTAGATAAACAGTCACCTTCACAGCTGTTCATTCCAAGCCAATGACTACATACTCCAGGGAAGGACCAAGGCTCAGAGGGAGGCTATGCATTCAATGTCTGATGCGCAATCATTGCCCTGAGCTGGCATGTGGACAACATTTGTAATAGCAATGCAGCAGAAGAAAATAAAATTACAAGCATAAAATGCCTTTGAGGGTTTTTTTTAAAATGAAAAACGCTTTATAGGAATTTTATAGATCATATTCTAAGCCATGTGTGGTCTGGCCTTCCTTTCCTTAATCCCAAACCTGGCAGAGTTAACTTTCACTTTATCTTCTCCAACTATCTACTATTCCCTTTTAATCACAATTTCTAGAAAATACCTACGATTTGTATATCCGCAGATAACTGAGACACTGACATTATAAACTTTTTGTTGCCAAAAAAGAAAAAAAAAACCTGCATTGGCTATCAACTATTTCTGTGCCTATTTCTAGTTTTAATTATACATTATGCTTTAGTCCAAGATGATAAAAGACTTTTTTTGTACCCTTTACTGTCAAAACATAATTGGTTAGTCAATAAAAACATTGTATTTCTCATTTTAACTGATTATTTCACAAACTTGATGCAAAATTTTTATATTCTTTATTAGAAAAACATTGAAAAAACATTTTTAGTGCTCACTTTGGCAGCACATATACTAAAATTGGAACYATATAGAGATTAGYAAGACCTAAATGAAAGGATAATATGCAAATGAGATAATATCAATATTTTTGTATAACTGTTGAAAGCAAAAATTGTTACATATCTGGTGAGATTTGATATATTGATCGTTTGGTTGTTTTTTGTTTGTTTGTTTGTTTGTTTTGGTGCTGGGGATTGAATTTAGGGCCTTGTGCATGCAAGGCAAACACTCTACCAACTGAGCTATATCCTATATCCCCAGCCTGAGTTTTTGATATAATAGATTTAATAATATGACAATTGCAACATAAAGAATCAAGCACAAAGTGATTTATGTAGTTGTAAGTTTTATGTGCTTCACTTGAAATGGATTAACTACTAACTATAAGTGTGACCTATTTTAACCCCCTAAAAAATCAACTATTTAATTATACCAAGAGGTACAGAAAAATGCCAAGAGAAAAGTTAAAGTGGATTGGCAAGAAATATTTAAATAATCTAAAAGGCAGGAAAGGGAAACAAGAGAAGAAACTGAAAATTAATAGTAAAATGGTCTTCCTGAATCCAGTATCAATACTTATACTAAATATAGATAATCTAATTGCATCTATTAAAAACTGGAGATTTAATTAAAAAGATAGAAAAGCTAAACTTGCCATGCAAACACTACTCAAAATAAAACTAGTGGATATGTTAATATCAGCCAAAATAGACTTCAGAACAAGGTAAGTATCAGGGATAAAKAGAAATATTACATAATAATAAAGAAAGTCAACTCACCAAGAAGATATGGCAACCTTAGACATGTATGTACCTAATAACAGAACTTTGATATAGATGAAGCAAAAGCTGACRGAACTAAAAGAAGAGACAAACACACAATTACTATTAGAGATTGCAAGTCTCCCCTCTGAGTAATTGATAGCACAAGCAGACAAAAAATCATCAAAACATAGAGGACTCAAGATAACACCATCAATCAACTTTACATAATTAACAATTACGAGATATCTTACCCAATCAACAATAATATTTACACTATTTTCAAGTATACATGGAAAATTCACCAAAATAGAACATATTCTGGGTCACAAAACATGTTTTTTAAAATTTAAAACGAAGTCATACAAGGTATATTCTCTGACCATAATGGAATCAAATAGATTAATAACAGGAAGAAACTTTCTTAATGTTCAGAAATAAGCAACACACTAAGAAATTCATTGATCAACAAGGAAGCCTCAAGGATAATTGAGTACTATGTTGAACTAAATGTAAATGAACACACAACATATCATATTTTGTAAGATACAGCTACAACAGCGCCTAGAGGGAAATTCATACTTGAAACACTTATTTGGTAATAGAAAAGTTCTCAAATCAATAACTAAGACYCCACCTTGAGGATCTAGAAAAAGCATATCCAAATGTGTACAAAGGCAACAAAAGGAATRAAATTAAGTGTAAGAACAGAAATTAATTCAATTGGAAAAAAAGGTAAAACAATTGAGGAAAGCAATGAAACCAGAAGCTGATTTTTGTAAAAGATAAAAAAAAATTGATAAATCCAGGTAGATTTTACCAGGGGAGAGAGAAATTATGTTAACAACAACAACAACAACAACAACAACAAAAGGCATACAAACTCCACAGACAAACAGATAATCATACCAGAGACAACTCCCGGTACATAAATAGGACCACTTAGATGAAATGGGCAAAATCTTGAAAGACATAAATTAATAAAACTGAGTCAAGAAGAATTGAATAGTTTTATATCAGTTAAAGATATTAAATTCATAATCGAAACCCTCAAACAATGGTAACAAAAAACCTCCAGTCCTCAGATATCTTCATTAATGAATTCTACCAAACATTTAAGAAAGAATAATATCAATTACATGCAATCTCTTCCAGAGAAGAAAAGAGGAGGAAACAAAGGACTTGTGTTCAAGATTYGGAAAGGAATTTTCACAACTCAAAGAAAGAGAAAACAACCTAATTAAAAAAAAAAAAAAAAGACAAAGGTCCAAATAGACATTTTACCAAAGAAGACATACCAATGGCAAATAAACACATGACAATATGCTCAACATCATCCCATAGAGATATGCAAACCAAAGGAGAGATACTATGATGTATCTTTTTAGAATGGCTAAAATATGGACCCCTGACAAGCTGATGTGTTCACAAGAACACAGAGCAATTCTAACTCTCTTACATTGTGGGTAGGAGTGCAAAATCATACAGTCATTCTGGACAGGAGTTTGGAAATTTTATATGAAGYCAAATATATATTAACCATACGACCCATTTATGGTTTCTTGGGTATTACCTTAGAAATGAGTTTTTTCTTGTTCATACAAAAACCTGTATGTAAATGTTTACAGCAATAGTGTTCATAATTGTCCCAAACTGGAAATAACCAAAATGTCCCTCAATGGGTATATGAATAAACAAATTGTGATACATCCCCACAATGGTATATAACTTAACGATAAAAAGGAATAAAGTGTAAAACAGCTGAATCTCAAATGCACAATACTAAGTGAAGGAAGCCAGCAAGGCTGCATATTTTATGTCTTCACTTATATGACATTCTGGAATAGAAAAAAATTGTAGAGTGAAGATCAGTGGCTGTCAGGGATGGCATAGGGGGGAGTTGATTGCAAAGGGGCATCAGAAAGGAGATTTTTCAAATGYTAGAACTGTGTATATCCTGTTTGCWTTGGTAGTTACATATATCTTTGTATGTGTGAGAACATATAGAACTGCATACCAAAAAGTGAATTGTCTGTAAATTTAAAAAATGATCAAAATCCCTAAATTATATTTAAAAAATACAGAGCCACCAGTTTCTATTTTCCTATCCCCCTTTCCATACATTCTTTCTTCAAATCTCTAATATAAGTTCTCATCTTACTATTAACTTCAGAACTATAAAACAGAGCTCTAGACCATGAGGCCTAGGGCTTTTAATTCTAGCTGATAAAATAAAGAATAAAACAAAATAAAATAAGGGCATTTAGACTGAGCAAGTATGTRTGTGTGTGTGCAAAAGGACATATACWGCAAAATGATGATCCTTATGGGGAGATTGTTCTAGAAATGCCCACCCTACCCAGTAAGAGTAGTTTCAAGCCCCAATTTTTAGGCACACCTAATGGGATCTAGGTCTACCCATTCACTCTGCCTAGAGTAGCAACTATTTTTTTTTTAATGGGAATTTAACTTGGTTTTCTCACCTTTGCATTCTCTACAGAGGATCTCTCAGACAATCCCAAGGACTTAAAGTTTAAGTTGAGGGAACTGGCAGATTTTGATGACAGCTGTAAGAGCAGAGGTCACAGTGTATCTCCTTGAGAAGATGAAGTGGGTGAAGAGGATYGGGTTGAGAGCTGGAGAGCTCCCCTTTGCACGAGGTCACAGGTTRGGCTGTGAGGAAGCTGGGGCTGGTTGCTAGTACTTTCTATTCTTTTATAAACTAACATGCCTTTGGGTGTTCCCCACATTGCCAGTGATCTTTGTCTCCACAACAATCTGCCTACTGCTGCTTAGCAAAGGGAGAGGCTGGAAAGGGGCTGGATGGAAACCAAGAGTTCTTGTCAACAGCCGTCACTCATCCCACTGATTCACTCACTACTCACTCCTTCAACTAGTGTTTTTGGGGTGTTTATTGTGTGCCAGACACTGTTCGTGCCTTTTTTAGAACCCTCTAGGAAACACAGTGTGCCTGACACTAAAGAGCAGTCTGAGCTTCTGCCTTATTCTTCTCCACCAGAACAGAAGCCCCTTGAGGATAGGAATCCAATTTTGTATTTCTCATGCATGACCTATAGGATGTAATGTTCCCTTGCTATGTCCTTGTAAACACACTGATACTGTGCTAGGACAGTGTGCACCGTCTACACATTATTGCTAATGGAATCAATCAACCAATGAAACACTGGCATAACTCTTTTATTCACAGCTTCCTCCTCTTAGGGGGGTTCTGCCCTTACATCAGTGAAATGAACATTACAGTGTGGATTTTTTAATAGATTCTAATTTGAACTAAAATGTAGGAAAGGGTTACGTAATAATAATGATAGTTAATATTTACTAAGAATCCTCCATGTGCTGGGAGCTCTGAATCCCTTATTAGCTCACTTCATATCCATAATAACCGGATGAGGCAGCACTATTAGTCCCATTTCACAAATAAGGAAGCAGAGACTGAAGGAGACTTAACTTGTCCAAGGATAATTACCAACAACAGGCCTGGAGCTCTGACCCGGCTTTCTCCATCATGAAAGCCCATACTGTCAACCATCACGCTCTATGATGTATGTGGGGTAAGAATGAGGCTGGAGGAGGTTAGGAGCTACTAGAGATTTAGAAACTGCTTATTAATTTGATGGAATTGGTGAATGACTAGCCTTTACAAGGGATGCATAGGCTTGAGGGTCCTGGAATTTTGCTTAAACACAGAGACACCCAGTGAAGAAATGGATAAAGGAACACAGGGATCAAGTGATGGCACACAAAAATTAAACTCACATAGCCCAAGGGAAAAGAAAACTACAGGAGGCAGGAGAAAAGTGACCTGAGGTCATGTTCTGTTGCATCACTGTGCCATTTGGCAGGATTTATCACTCTGGAGATTGTCCTCACTTAATGGCCAAGCTCCTACTTTGGAGCTCTGGCAAGATCACATAAAATTATAACTATTACACAAACACATATGAAAAGTCCTGGAAGGGGCCCAAGATAAATATATGTAACATTTCTTTCAAACCCACATGACTGTTGACTAATATTACTCTGATCTAAAGTGATTTTGTTTTGGCCAACAGGTCCAGCATGCCAATTAGCCAGAGATGGTCCTTAATAACTCAAAAAAGGCATGGCGGGAAAGAGGGCAAAGGTTGGAGGAGAAACAAGACAAGGAACACTGGGTTGGGATAAGGAATGCTGGTAGGAATAGGCATAACGTTTTGTGGGAAGTAGGCAGATGCCCATGACCAAACAGATTAAAATTCTAAAATACAAGAAAACAAAAAGGTCTCAAAATTTTCCTTGGGAATCTATACCTTCTCCATTCTCTGGTGG